GGGATTTGGTTGCTTTTTCTCCAAGGAATCCGGTTTACTTGTTTGATAAGTTTTCCAATTAAATTCAAAAGATAATTAAAGTTTGACTTTATCTAGATTTGAATTTGAGTCAAAATTAGAAACTGGATAAAAGGAGAAAGTTATCTCCTTTTCCTGGTAGAAGTAGACGCCAACCACATGGAGATATCCCTGTTATGGGCCGGCCATATAGAGATAAGGAAAGAAAGAATTTTATTTCCAAAATTAAATGGGAAACTATATTTTAAATGAGATTTAAAACAAAGTAATAACCAATTCTCTATTGCTTTGACTTTAAGGTAGCAAAGAGCTATTCTAGGATTCTATAAATATGAGACAATAGAAAATTAGAGAACACAATGTTTTCTCCCTTCTTTCACTATGAGATAGGGGTGTAACAGAGTTGTTATGGGCATGTAACATTCTGTTTGACAGTGTATAACATTCTAGTGAAAGTCATGTAACTTGAGAGAAAAAGAGAAGAAAAGTTCTTCTAATTCTCAGTTCCACCTCATACATGGGTTGATATTAGTGAAAGAGAAAATTAGTGAGTGATCAATCCTATAATTCTAAATTAGAGCCCACACTCTAGGTCTTGCAGGTATTAGAGACTAGACGAGGAAGATTCAAGTTTTCCTAGAAAGCTTAGAGCGAGGATTGTTCGTGGTCAAAGAACTCAAGTTATCGACCTAATCGTTCGCTAGGTAAATAAATTAATTAGATTAATTTATTCGCGTATAAATTAATATATTCTATAGAGTATTGCAAATATTTTATAAAAATTATTGTTATACACGATCTGTAGATACACGTTTCCGCATCCAAAATCGTTTCAGAAACCAATATCTCCTCCTCCTTCTTCATCTTCTTCTCTCTCTCTCGTGAAGAAGGCACGACTGTGTAGCTCACTTGTCATTGAACTTTGCCACGATGCCGAGTTCGAGGCCTCCTATTTTGCGCAACTTTGACCTCCGCTTGTTCTCTCATTCAAAGCCTACAATCTAATTCATGGACTGCAACAGAATCACTAGTATCTGGTCTTCCTTTAGCCCGTGCTCTTCACGGCGAGGTCTAGAAGGAGTTCTCTTTCTGGTGCTATTTGTGCAGGTAGATCTTGAGGAACTAGTTTCTGATGCTATTTATGCATGAAGGACAGAGTTCCCTATTTAGATTGTGTTTTTTTTTCCTATGATTTTGGTGTTTTTTTCCTCTGCAATTTGGTTTTCCAGTTGGCCACCGCCACTAACGACAGTTCCCATTTTGTGATTCGGTGGTTACCGGTTGGTAATTGGTATCGATGCGGATACCATCTAGTATCTCATTCAGATACCGGTATCACAGTTGGATGCCAACGGGCATCCTAAGGGTCTGTTTGGTATTTTAAAAGTAAGGTGATGATGTGGCCATAATATTCTCTTGAAATGTTTTTTTATTTCTCCTGAATATATGTCAATCCAAGTCTAAGGGCCCGTTTAGTTCGTTGATTCGAGTTTTTAATTTGAGTTGAGATGTGATTTTATGTGAGAGTTTTTTACTGTAACAAAAAAGTTAAATGTGATTATTTGTGAGAGCTTTTTACTGTAGAAAAACTCTAATTTTAAACTCGAATCAGCGAAATGAACAATGCCCTAAATTTTGTGGTATTCTTGTAGGTTCACCTTTCACTTAACTTCTTCAGCGCAAAATACAAAAATGGGCTTTAGAAAATGGGCTTAAGTAGTCAAATTGGGTCTTGAAAGCTGTTAACCGGTCCATTTCAAAGTTTATGGTTTTCAAAAATTTATACTTCAGAGTCCATGAGTCTGGACTTTTACTTATTACTCTTAATAAATACTCTTTTGTTCATATAATTATTTAATTAAAAAGGTTTGAATCAAGAATAAATAATAAAAATCATGGCCCATACACTTTTAATAGGGATTTGTCAATATTATTATTATTATTATTATTATTATTATTATTATTTAGATTTTGATTCATGCAGCTAAGCAAGATAATCAGGTATACAACAAATAACAACACGATCCCAGAAAAGGAAACAAATCAAATAAAAACATGAATTTCTATATAAAGAACAAATAATTACACGAAATAAAATTCTTTGGAAAAAGTACTCTATCAATATGCACTTTTAAATTAAGTCACGTCCAATTTGTATATTTTTTTCGTTTGTTCCAATATGATAGATAATTCAGAATTGTACAACATCACCATGATATTTTCTTATCCTATGACCCAATCCTCCAAAACAAAAGGTACGCGCGGACAAATAAAAAATTAGAAACAGAAAATATAT